AAAAGAGAAATGTTATGAAGAAAAATAAATTAAACAAGATTGGTCTGAGCACTACATCCAAATTCCTTACCAAATTTGGAAAAAAAAAATACGGAGAACAAATACTAATAATAAAAATAAAATGAGAATTAAATTTAGTGAGTGCGCGAGCATGTTTTCGACACCGCCATCTTTGGCGATTTTTCGTTTTTTTTTGGCACAGCTAAATGCCCTTAAAATTTACAAATGTGTACTTCACATAATACAAAACCTACTAAAAGAGTTTCATAAAATGATAAAATTGTTTAGATCCCGAACTAAAGTGAAAACAAAAAGTAAAAAGTGAAAAAATACATGGGCGAGCACGTTTTGACACCGCCATCTTTGGCGATTTTTAATTCTTATTTGGCTTCGCCAAATGTCTTGAAAATTTATAGGCATGTACCTCACGTCATAGAGAACGCAAAAAAAAACATTTAGAGAAACATAATTGTGTTTAGGCCCAAAATCATTTTTGGTGAGGGTCAGACGTCGTCGGGTTCGGACCCCGTAAAGGACCCGAACGCCGGTACGTACGGAGGTCTGCCCGAGGACCTCCGTGCGTACGGGCTGGTGACCTTGCATATATATATATATATATATATTGCTTTTGTTTTAAGGGGTTTTTGGCACTTCATATCGACTCGTACGAACGGTCGTTCGACCGTATGTTCGACCATACGAGAGAACCCCCATACGTCGTACGCTGTGTTTCACAGTGTGTTGTTTCTTCTGTGCACGGGCGCACATGCAGAATAGCAATGGGAAAAAAGGAAGGGGCATTACACCAATTTACCCGAGACTACAGGAAGGGGGCAAGGTGGATATAAGCCGCCAGCTATAGCAGATGGCGTCTATGAACCAATGAAGACGAAAGAATGAGCGCATTCAATTGGGTTGTCCATGACTGTGTTTGTGATTATGCAATACAAGACCAACTTCACAATGCTAACACCACAATTGGTCGTGCATGTAACTAAGGAGAGGTTGTGGATCACATTTGGTGATGCATGCATGATGATATTCAGGATGAGTACTGCTTATCGAAAATCAAAGGTAATGCAGCACGCCTCTGGCTACACAGTTCTAGAAGCAAAGCTATTCACCTATTTGTCTGTTCGGCCTGTGGGACCGGGTTGTGGTCGGACCCCACATGATGTGTGTTGTCAAGTACAGTGCAGTTCTGGTCGGTATCACTGTTGGTACCAGGCCAAGCCAGCCCTTCCGCTGGGGGTATACCCAAGTTGTAGTCTGTTTTGTGGCTCATAAATCATTTGGAGAGTTTGGAGTACGTACGTGTTGAGTCTGCGTCGGAGTTGTGCTATCTCTTCCAGCTCCATCTCTATCTCCCACATCGTCATCCCTTCATCTTGATCTTGACGGACTGCCATCCCAAAGGGATTGTCACACTGGTATCAGAGAGGGCTTTCCTCCCTGCTCCCCTCCCCAATCCAACCCATGCATCATTTGCCACATTGCACGAGCAGAAAAAAAATAAAAATAAAAAAAATCTCATTCTATTTGGTAACGACATCAATGCACCTTTTCAATCGTAAATTCTGCATCCGTGGAATAAATGTTTTGTTCTTTGGTTTGTTGGAAATCCCTTGACGAACCGTGTCGAACAAGTCGAACTGCCATTCCGTCAAAATAAAAATTTTATATTTTTTAATGACATAGAAAATGATTATGTTAGCCAAAAACAGGTTGAACTTCAATTTTTGGCTTCTGAGGGTCAGACGTTCTTAAAACGTCGTACCCCCTCGATGTATATGGACTAGCTCAAGACCAGATACGTGCAGACGGTCCGGCGTTTTAAGAACGCCTGACCCTCAGGAGCTTAAAATTTAGACCTGTTTTTTGCTAAAATACTTAATTTCTATTTCGTTCAAAAAATATAAAATGTTTGTTTTGACGAAATGACAGTTGTTGTAGATATCCTACTTTTGTTAAGTGGTTTAGGAGCTACGATCTTTCAAAAATCGTGAATTTTTTTTCAAGTTCCGAAAACCACTTCTGCTCGTTTGTGTAATGAGCTCTATTAGACTATTACTATAGGTAGTGGCTGATGCTGCACCATATCTCGTTGGAAGAGGCTTCCAAAAAGTTTTCCAACGAGGCCTCCCTGCACGTGAAAATTTATTGGCGAAAGAGTGTTTGCCATCTACCTCTGCTGTCTTTGTCTGTGGTCATCTTCAAGCATGTCACATGAAAGTATTTGAAGATTTTGAAGACCCCCTTTATTAGGGGGCTGCACTATATGTCGAGAGAGGGTTTGGGGATCAAGATCTCACCCAAACCCATCATTGTTTTAAACATCTGATCTCTATTGATCACATATGGTCGTATCACCAACAGTTTGACGGTAGTCGTACCTACCTCCCCGCCCTCCCCCCCCACAACTTTTCGCCCCACCTTGTCGTATCCAATCCAAGGAACCCCTCCTTGCACGTTCGTAACCCCATCCATGTTCTGTACAGAAAAAAAAAAAAAAACAACCAATCAAACAATCAATCATTCATTCAATCAATTCAACCAAATCAATCGTCTTTGATTGATTCATTCATTCCTGAAAAAAAAAAAAAAAAAAAATCAGGTGGTCGGGGGAGGGTGACAGCTAGGGGTGGGTTGTTGCGGGACCGTTTCACCATGCCCCTGATCTCCTTTCTGCTTACTCCTATTCCCCCTCGTCCTTTTCCCCCTCCTCCTCCTCCTCTTCCTGTACTTTTTTCTCTTTTTTTTTTTCCTCTTCTTCTTCTTTTTCTTCTTCTTCTTCTTCCTCTTCTTCTTCCTTGTCGTCCTCCTCTTCCTGCTCCACTTCTGCCGCCTCCTCCTCGTCCTCTCCATGTTCTTCTTCTTCCTCCTCATCTTCTTTTTCTTCCTCCTCCTCCTCCTCCTCCTCCTCCTTATCGGCTCGATGCTTCCCCCGCCAGCCACAACCCTACCCTAGACCTCATTTTTTTTTATTATACATCAACTACCATTTCGTCAAAAGTTACATTTTTAATTTTTTGAACGAAATTGAAACAGAGTTTTTTCAACTTTTTTTACCAAAAACTCGTCTAAATTTGTGTACCTCCCGAGGATCTGATGTTTTTAAAACGCTCGACCCCCTGGATGTATCAGGACTAAGCTTGAGACCTGATACATCCGGGGGAGACCGTGTAGATGTATCTGGTCTCAAGCTAGCTCGAGATACGTACAGGGGGTCATGCGTTTTAAAAACACTGAACCCTCAAGAGCAGAAAATTCAGACGAGTTTTCTGCAAAAACCAAATTGAAAAAACTCAGTTTCAATTTGGTTGAAAAAATAAAAAATGTTCATTTTGACGAAATGACAGTTAATCAATCAATCAAAAAATCATGTCGAATTGAATCGAGTGATTCGACTGAATATTGAAAAAATGAAAATCAAGATCCAATCGACTCAATGGATTCGATTGGAGGATTTGATTGATTGATTGATTGATTGTTCAGAGGCAAAAAAAAAAAAAGATCGGGAGGAGGGCAGCGGCTGAGGGTGGGTAACCTACTCCCCTTTCTTCTTTTTTTTTTACTCCTCCTCCACCTCCTCATCAGATTTCTCGTCGTTTGCCTCGTCCTCCTCCTCTTTTTTTTCCTCCTCCTCCTCTTCCTCCTCCCCCTTCTCTTCCTCCTCTTCGTTTTCCTCCTCCTTTTTATCCTCTTCCTTTTGCTCGTCGTTCTCGTCTTTTACTTCTTCCTCCTGTGCGCCCCCCTATTCCTCCTCCTCCTCCTCCTTTTTTATTTTTATTTTTTATAAACGAATCAATCAATCAATCCAGGACCTCAATCGAAGCGACTGATTCGATTGAATCTTGATACGCTATTCAATCAGAATGCAATTGAATCAATATATGGATGAATGAATGGATCGATGGATGGATCGATGGATGGATCGATGGATGGATCAGTGGATAAATGGATGGATAGATGGATGGATGGATCAATGGATCGATGGAAGGATGGATGGATGGATGGATGGATAGATGGATGGATCAATCAATCGATTGGTTGATTGATTGATTGTATGAATTAAAAAAAAACAAAAACAAAGAGTGTTTGGGCTAGAGTGAGACGGAACACGACGAGGCACCAGCTGACAACTTCCGCCCTTTCCCGGAACCCCACTATCGTCACCTGCTACGAGGACGGTCTGTCGCACTACCGTACGATCGTACGTACGGGCCCTCAATGCTTGTACTGCTTGTACGTACAGACTTTGGGCTCCCCATACGTGACCTTCCGAAAGGGTATTGAGGGGGTGGACGGGCTAAGGGGGGGGTCGGGCATCGGGGGGTACCC